CTTGTGCAAAGCATCCTATGTTATAACAACTCTCCACATGAAAGAATCTTCTAACTTCGCCTTTAACTCTTGTAGTCACAATATTCATCTATGCTCCTTGTTCCCATTTTGCAAAATAGAGAGAATATTTTTAGATTATTTAACCTTTCAATACTTTTCCGAATTTTGAAGACCTCCATTAGGAGGAGGTTGCAGAGGTAGGGTGGGGGAAGACTGTGGAGGGATTTAATGGATAGGATGAGGATCTTGAACTCGATCTATTGGGGGAAGCGGGAGCCAGTGGAGCCTGGCGAGGATGGGGGGTGGGGGGGGGTGCTGTTAAGCTCACAGAACTCATGCAGGGAAGGACACAAGCTTCAGAGTTCTGGATAGTCTGAATGGAAGAAGCGAGTAGTCCAGTGAGCAGGGAGTTGGCGTAATCTATCCTTGGACATGATCAATGTGCGGATTATGGTTTTGGCAGCCGAGGCGAGATGAAGGCGGGCAATGTTATGGAGATGGGGGAAAGCTAAGCATATCTAAGCACAAATGTCAGGTTCAAAGGACACTGAGGTTCCACGAGGTGGAGTGTGCATCCAAGTGGTTAGATGCTGTCAGCATTGTCAACATAAAAAGCAAATATCTCAGAAAACGCGGACATTCCATTGAACAGTCATTAATTATGGAAATATGCATCTGTAATTCACTCAACCAGCAATTAATACAAAATTGCAACTCAGTTATTTGTCCCTGAAGACTTATTAGCTTCATGGGTTGCAGTCTTTTGTTAATTTTGAGATGTCAATACTCTTTCTAAACCTGTAAATTATGATATCCTAATGGTAGAAATTATTTCTGGTATAAAGGATATTCAAGATAGTTAATGTAGAAAAAAATATATTTGTCACCTTTGAATAGCTTGAAGAGGAGAAATAACCTGCGTTGTGTATTTCAATTCTGACAGTCCTAACTTTGAACAGTATCATAATCATCCAAGCCTCAAAGATATATTTTCTATGAAAGATAAATCGGAGAAACTCCACAAAAATGTATCACAAACATTACATTGATTGCCTTTCTGCACTGTGTACTTTTTCATTTCATTTTCCACCCTGTTATTGTTCGACTCAACTGTCCTTTCTCATCCATAGCCATGCCTTCCCCCACCTCCGTAACATTGCCAGACCTCACCACTGCCTCACCCCTCAGACCGCCAAAACCCTCATAATGCATTCGTCACCTCAAGGCTCAACTGAGGAAACTCCCTGCTCGTCGGCCTCTCCAACTCTTCCCTCCACAAGCTGCAGATCATCCAGAACTCTGCAGCTCGTGTCCCGTCGCACACCATGCTCCATGACCCCATCACACCGGCTCCACTGGCTCCCCATCCCTCAGAGGGTAGAGTTCACAATCCTCGTCCTCACTTTCAAGCCCCTCCACGGCCTTGCCCCTTCTGACCTGCTGACCCCCTATCAATCTGTCTGCTCCCTCCGCTCAGCAGGCTCCGGCTGGCTCCACGTCACCGCCCAACCCGCCCTACCATTGGCAACCGGGCCTTCGGCCTCTTTGTCCCCACTATTTGGAACTTCATCCCACAATCCCATCGCCTTGCTCCTTCTCTTGTCTCCTTCAAGGCATGACTCAAGACCCACCTCTTTGACCTTGCCTTCAGCCGCCCTCCTATACCCTCTCCCTCCCTCATCCCAACCCGGCCCCCCACCCTCAGGTGTTGATCCCTGACTGTTCAGCGCCTTGGGACGTCCTCCCGACATGAAAGGCGCTTTACAAATGTAATGTTGTTATTGTTATAAAGCATTACCTTGAATGTTGTTGGCATTGTCGATTTTACTTCTTTTAAAGAAAACTCTGGATAGCTATGAATGCAGTGAGAACAAGCAAACAACGTAAAATATTCCACTTTACTTTTCATAATATATATATGAATAATTTTTGATTATTTAATATCTCAAAACTTTTCAGAATGTTGAAAGGAGGAGGTTGCAGAGGTAGGGTGGGGGAAGACCATAGAGGGATTTAGCGAGCCTATGCTTGACCTTCGTCCCCTCCGGTCCACCATCAGTGGCCGTGCCTTCAGCCATTACATCCCAAAATTTTGGAACTCTTTCTCACTCAATCCCTCTGGCTTGCCCCCTCTTTTTCATTTTCAGATCTTCTTCTTCAACTGTGCTAATGGTCACCTCCTCTCCTTCCCCAGCTCAGCATCCAGCTTTACCACTGTTAAACATTCCGAGACTCTACTCTGCATGACGGGCACTATATAAATGTAAGTTGTTGTTTTACTTCTTGGTTTACATTACTGAAAGCAGTTGAGATGAAAAGGTCCTCTCTATGGTAAGTGACAGTGGTTTTATGCAAGTAATTTCACCTATAAGGTTTCCCAGCAAATAAATCCAATCAACTTCACCAACAACATGGCACAAATATGTTGGGAAATCGCTTTTGGGGAGAATTCATGAAGATATATTGTGTGAGAAATGAAAACATTAAACTGGTGCAATAGCGAGCCCTTCTGAAATGGACTACACAAACAGTGGGTATAATTTTCTTTTTGGTGCAATGATGCAAAAATAACTACAGACTTTTAACCCACATGCACACAGCAGTAGCAATACTGGGAGGTAATAGTGCTTCTATTGAAACACTTCTGCTGGATGCAGAGGGTACTGGGTTATTAAGAGACAGCCAGATGAGCCTGTATTAGGGGAGGATAAAATAAGATTCTTAGGACTGTTTCACACTGTATACTAGATTATATAATTTCCATATCCCAGCACTGTCATTCCCACCTTAAAAATCACCCAAAACACAGTCACATAAAAAATCCATACAACAAAGAGAAAGATAATGTGTATTATAGTAACCCTGTGCTGTGCTTCAAGGAGTTTACCAAATTATGCAAGTTTCATAAACAGTTTAGTCTCATTTTAAACATCAATTTTATATATTGGCAGAAAAATAAGTGTCCATTTAAAATTCAATATTAAAACAATATTTATGGAATAGCTAAATGACTGCCTAACTGTTGCCAAATTGTATTAATGGTATAGCTCTCATGTAGAGTGATGCCCAATACATCATTTTTCACATTGATTTCAATTATAAATTCATAGTGTAACATAGTCCATGCTGAAAAAAGGAAACAGAAACATGTGTCCACTGAAGTATCTCAAGTCATCACGTAATGCTAGACTAGTGGTACAAAGATATTCCATTAATTAATGTGAAAAATACACAATCCTTTTATAATGAAACAAATCAAAAAGCAAATGTTTTCACATTTTATATCAAGCACATTTATGGTAAAATCACGTAAATAACTTGAAGTAGTGGACAACATTTTATACCATGTCTAATGATGCAATTGGTCAAGAAGTTCTGCTTGGCAATGAGACTTTCGAAGGATGAGAAGTGTATGGTGTGAATATTTATCACTCAAAAGCTCAAAAGAAATGCTGGAGAATAAGGTTATTTTAAATACTGTGCTTTATATTATGTTTATCTCAGCTGGAGAGGCAAGGAGACTTCTACTGTGCTCAATAACACAGATGAAGACAATTTAAAGATAATGTAAAAGTCAAAGAGCCTTATTGTCCTTGGCTCCAAGCCATCTCCGTTAGTGTGCTTTGCTGCTCATTTCTTTTGCCATAGCAATGAGTCTGGAATAAAGCTAGTCACTAGGCAAGTCTGGAGAGAAGCTATCTGGCAAAGAGTGATTGGCTGAATGGATAAAGCTTTGTTTCCAGGCAAAGCCTTATGAGAGAATCTCTAGTAATATGAAGGACTGAATGTCACTCAACTCCTTCAGTCCTACTTCAGCCAAGGGTTTGCTGCTCCACCTTTAAGTGACCTGTGGATAGCATCTGGCTCCCTGGCCATATGCCACTGAAAAAACATGCGACTATAATCCTGGGCTCTTTTCTACTGCCCACAACAATTGCATTTCATTTGTGTGGACCAACCATACTGTAGGTTAATTGGCTTTTCTGTGTCTCGAAAAAAAATCAGATTTTGCTTTACCAAAGGATAAGGGGAAAGAGCAGGGCATCAGGGAATCCAGCTCCAGTGAAACATGTGCCAATATTGGCTTGATGAGCGAAATAAGTTCCTCCTGTGATGCATTTCTTGATCCTACTTCAATCAAGCTGCTGAGGATCAAGCCTCCCCCTCACCCCACCCCCAACAGACATCAGGTCAGGGCTACAGGAACCCCATTATAGATGTATTGTCAGTGACCATGAAATATCATTGATAAACACCAGCCTTTTCTTTCAAATTTTCTATGGATGAAAATTGCCAAAATACCTACTTAATTCCAGAAAGTATTAGGGACAGCTTGGCAGAGACAAGACTAAGAGACCCCATAGCATTCATTGGGGTACTGGTGGAGTTTAACCAGTTAAAATGGCATTGCTTGCCATTGAGAGCACTGTCTGGCAAGCTTCCCGCTGCTTGTCCGGCCAGGACCACCCTAACTGTTAGGGCTTTGACTCGCAGGATTAACAGAAGCTGAGTGGAAAGAATCCTTGCCCCCAGTCACCAATCCCTACCCCTCCAGGTCTTGCTGATCAGGTAGACTGATGGCTCTGTCATCAGCAGTGCCCTGGAGTACTGCCGACCTACTTACCTCAGGGACTGGCTACCGAACCATCATAGAGGATCAACTCAATTCCAGTATTCCATTACCAGGCATATCACCTTAGAGCCAGCTCAGCTCCAAGGAGACCTTCTTATATGTCCACCCCCCCACCCCCACCACACAATGAAATAGGTTAACTTGGGTCACATAGATGCTTTAATTTGATTGATAACTATTGCAAGAAAATGAAATCTCTGCAATACCAATTATCTTTACACCAGAACAAAATAAAAATTAAACAGAACATTATATGACATGTACATATTGTATTTACTGGGGTCTACCCTCAAAAATAGTCATGCTTAACATTTACCACTGTGTGGTCCATAAGGATGCGATTTTCATTTAAAACAAAATACTATACCTCATCTTGGTGCGAGTTCAGCAACTGTAACTTCATGTGCTTCATATAAGCCATTGTAATAGGCATATTATAATCTATGATACCGCTTCCCAAGGATGTTGGCTTTTCATTCTCTAAACAAAAAGGAAGAAAACAACTTAGGAAAACAATTTCTCAAGAAGGTTGTCCTTTTCATTTCATATTTATTATTACAATACAAAATTACATTTGTATAGCGCCTTTCATATTGGGAGGACGTCCCAAGGTGCTGGACAGTCAAGGATTTTATTATTATTATTATTTATGTCTTCCGGGACTGAAATTCTTACTATTAATAACAAATAAAAAGCTCCTTTTGTGTGGCTTTGAAAGCTTTGAGCCATACAGTTTGGATGTTTCAATGTTCAGTGTTAGCTGAATGTAACCAAGGCATAGCAATGGTCTCAACAGTCCTCAGAAAGGAAAAAAAATCAGCTAAAACTTGTGCTCTTGATTGCTATCCAAAGACTACTGCTGATAACTGCATGGATGATGAGCAAGCACAGGATCGAGCTGTGATGTCTCCTGCAGTCAAATAGTCTATCAACAAACATGCCTAGGCTTATACATAAATAAAGGAGAGATACTAAAGAACAATTGTTGCTTGTGAAGTTATATCCCAGGAATCGAAAACAAGGAGTCAAATTCCTGCAGGAGAAGAGGGAGTGAGGGAGTGAGTGAGTGAGTGAGTGAGTGAGTGAGTGAGTGAGTGAGTGAGTGAGTGAGTGAGTGAGGGAGGGAGGGAGGGAGGGAGGGAGGGAGGGAATTGAAGGAAAAAACTAAACTGGCAGTGGAGGAAAAAAATAAGTGGAAAAGGTTCGGTATATTTTCAGCTTGTGCACAGCAACACTGATATCAATGTCAATTTTACAGTAATAAAATTACTCAAAGAACTTTATTACTTATAATATTAATCCGCAACAGTACTGTAGCCAAGTTATCCTAACAACAACCAAGATAAGCAAACTCATCCACAGCGCTCAAGCAATTAAGACAAATTGGGACAAATCCACAGGGTCTGGATTTATATAGTATTTTCAAACATTCAGAATTTAGCAAATTGCTGAATCAAGTCTTAACTTTGTGGTTCGTTTTTGCAGTTCTTAAAAGAAGGTACAGAAAAACAATTTCAAATTAAGGAAGTATTTAAGAATTTGTCAAATTCTGGACACCAGAAAATGTTACTTGAAAAGAGAAAGGAATCTCTTCCAGTGTCCTTACCAACAACCAAATAAAACTGGACATTCACTTTATAGATGTTAATGGGACCTTGCTGTGCACAACTTGGCTGTCACGATTACCTACAAAATACAACGCCAGTGCATGTCAGAGTATATCCTGTGAAGTGCTTTACAACATCTTCCTGATTTGAAATATACTATATGAAATGCAAGGATATTTTTTTAAATCTAGAGACCCACAGGGCTGAGAACTGACATTCAGTTGTCAGAGAGAGTAGAGCAGAGGGCTACTAGATTAATTATAGGACAGTTATAAAAAAAGCTTGACTTTCCTACGACCTTTCGTTACAACTCTGTTACCTAAATTCTGCGGATACATTTTAATGCCACGTGCAAAATTCAAAAACAAGATATCATAGCTTCCAAGTAGGATCAACGGAAACAAATAGGAAGTGCAGGAGAACTTGTTTTAGTAAACCTGTGATAGACACAGGGAACAAACTACCAGCAAAGGTGGAAAAACAAGGGGCTGTACAGGATTTTAAAAGAAAAGAACTAAATAAGTTTCTGGAAATTAAAATAGTTCAAGATTATTAGACAATGAGCTAAATGTGATGAACCTTTTTTGGTGGTTGGATGGGTAAGCACCTTGGGGTGTCCTCCTGACATGAAAGGCGCTATACAAATGTAATTTTGTATATGGACCAATCGTCTATTCCTGCCTGAAATATTACTGTATTAGCCTCTTTTTTTTTCTTTAATCTGAAGCTGGGAGAAGCACAACCTGATGTGGATTAAACTTGGCCAACATTTTCCTCATGACAGCTTCCTTATGAACACAATCAAGTCTTTTGCATTTTTTTGAGCAGACTTCACATTTCTGAAAGTTGAAACACCCCTGAATGTAATGTTAATTTCACTGTCCGTTCATCGCCTTCTTTAAGCTTGCATGCCCTAAGTCCACACAAATTTAGTTCCTCGCAATGTGTAATGGTTGAATTACTGAACTTTGTTTTCCTCTATGAGGCAATCAAAAAAATGTTTTTCAATTTTCTGAAGAAATGGTTTTGTGAGTCTCAAAAGTTAAACAAGCTCTAGCTTTGATGATTCCTGCTTCATCTACTGACATTCCTAGTCTCACTCTATTTTCTGATCGTAAAGTGTCACATTCCCTTCACTGCTTACTGTCACCAAGAGACTATTTTTCCCTTTTGTGCCAAACACTTCTTTTCCTATCAATAATTCTTAGCAATGTATAAAGTCCAAAGACCTGCAAGGCTCAAATATTACTTCCAAATGTGATGTGATTTCCAGCACCTTTCTTGTTCTATGAGAAGTAACACTTTTCTCATCTGTAGCCTTCTCCATTGCAACAATTTTTATATTTGTTTACAGTTTTAGTAATATTATGATCGTAGTTCCTCTGACTCTTCCTTTTTTGTTCCTTCCATGCTCCAAATATACAATCATAAATACATTCCTTCTTAAATCAAAACTTATTACACCATCTCTTAATCATTTCTTCCCAAGATTTAAAAACTGTAGGAATGTCTCATTCCACAGATCCCTCACCATTTTCTTCTTTCTAATATCAACAGACTTGAAATCCAAGCTATCCATCGTCTTACCATGATTATTATTATTACCTTACCAGACACCTGGGTTCAATTCCAGGCAGGGCGAAACCTTGGGCAAGTTTCCTTACTCCACACGCCTAATAATAATCCCTCCAAAACAAAACAATAATAATTGGTCATTTTCAATCCACGACTGTTTGTGGGACACTGCTGTGTGTGCAATTGGCTGCCGCATTTTGTCCACAAATATACAGTCAATTCACTTTACAGTATATTCTGTGAAGCGCTTTGAGACATCTAGAAGACATGAAAAGCACTATATCAAATGCAAGGATTATTATTATTATCATGGCCTCTTGATTATTTCATCCATACTCTTGTTCTTTTCAATCTCAATGTTGTCCAGCACTATGGACCTTAGGCAAAGCCCTTCGCATGGGCTTGTTATCAAAGACAGATATCATAAAAATCAATCAAAGGAGAGATTCATCCCAATTCATGCAAATTTAAAACTAGGACCTGGCATTAATTGGTGGGCTGATATTGGTATGAATGAGTCAGTTGAGGCAAACCACAGTAATGATTCAGCAAAGACAAACATTTAACATTCTTCAGAGGAAAAAGATGTTTTACAGAGGGCAAATGAGTGAGGAAATGTAGTTTATTGTTTAGGTGGGGATTCACATGCACGTAGCTCTCACTTGAGCAATCCTAAAAATACCGAAAAGTACTTAGGTATTACCATATTGTTCATAGATACTAACAGTGAACAGTTTATACTTATTGGATTCCCATAGTGTAGTGGTTAGCAAGCGAGAGAACCTGGGTTCAATTCCCAGGTGGGGCAAAAACTTAGGCAAGTTTCTTTACTCCACAAGCTTCTGTTTATCTAGAAGCAAGTAGGAACCTGGCTGGTAGTCGATTGGTGGATCACGTGGAAGTTTAATAATCCCTCCAAAAATGTTTTTAAAATGTGGTCACTCAATCCATGACTGATTGTGGGACACTGCTCTAAGCAATTGGCTGCCTTATATATCCTTTCTGTATCAGCCTGGCTCAATTGATAGCACAATAACCTCTGAGTCAGAAGGTCCAAGCCCCACATTGGGACTTGAACTCACATAGTCTAAGCAGACACTCCAAATGTAGTGCTGGGGCATTGTTGGAGGTGCAACTACCTCCATCTACCTGTTCAGGTGGATGATAAAAGATCCCATGGCACCAATCAAAAAGAGAAGGCAGTTTCTCCCAGTATCCTGGCTAACAATTCCCCCAATAAAATTGTTTATTTATTTCATGGCTGTTTGTGGGACACTGCTGTGCTCAATTGGGCTGCAGCATTCATCTACATATACAGTTACTCCACAGGAAAATCCTGTGAAGCTCTTTAAGACGTCCTCCCAACGTGAAAGTGGCTACACCAATTCCAATTATTAATTATTCTCATCATTATTAAGGTCCCTTGTGAGTCTTCTCTTTTCAAGGCTGACAAGCCCTAAATTGTCTAATCATTGCTCATCTAGTAAAACAAAGATTTATTGTTCGTCTGGGTCATGACCTGTCTGTGAAGTCATAGCACAGACACAGCAACAGAGATCCAGATCATAAGAAACAAGAAACTCTGTTGACAGGATGAGCTGATCATTTCTTCTTTTTGAACCACTTTGAACAAACATGTTAGGGGAATATAAAGTACTTTAAATTATTTGTGTTTCTTTGTGTTTGGGTGTTCACACCAGTTATCATTATGAAACACAGCTTCATTTTGAAATTTCAAATGCATTGTACACTTTCAATTATGTATACAGTACTATAAAAGTATAAATTTTATACTGAATGCACACAGCAAATATTCCAACTGGAACTAATAGGTTAGCTCGAAATCAATTTCTGCAATGGACTCATCTTCATTAAGCTGTTTCATTAAAGTATCTGTTGTTCAACTACGTTTTTCCATTTTCATCAAAATGTACCTCAAAACTTTTAAGGTTTTCAATATTGAATCCGAGACTGAAAGACATTTACAACAACAACTTGCATTTGTATAGCCCCTTTCACATGGGTTAGTCCCAGAGCACTTTATGATTTACCTTTATGATCTGCACCATCTGGATTCAAATGCATTCTCTTCTGGCATTCTGAGCAGCTCATTAGAAATCTTGTCACTGCTTCCCGTGGCAAGAAGGCATAGGTCTCGGAAATCTAAAGTTAATCAAAAAAAGTGAATGTTAAATAAAACAAATTGCAGTTATATTACAACTCTGAATGATACAAACGTTATCAGAACTTAGTTTTAAAAATAGGGGAAGAACCACAAGAAATGAAATTTCACCAGTTGTAATTTTTTTAAAAGTGATTTTATAACTGCAGAAGAAAACGTGAGTAAATATCTTTTGCCTAACTGAACTTTAAAGTAAATCCTGCGCTTTGAGACATCTTCCAAAATGTGAAAGGTGCTACATCAAATGCCAGTTTTTTTTATTTTTGTAAAATGCAGCTGGAATTATAAGATGTCATTCATTTAGACTCTTTATACTGTATCAGCAAAATGTAGCAAAGGTCCAGTTATCATAGTTGCACTGGGCCAGAAGATGACAATCTTTGCATTTGAGTCTTATCACATCAAAACCTTTCAGAGCCCTTCTCAGAGTATACTGCGTAAAGTATAATGGCTGTCTTTTGTAGGCAAACATAACAACCAATTGCACCGTCTCCGACCTCACCATCATTACTTCATCTCCCTTAACTCCTCAATTCCTCTCCCAACTGCCACGCAACCCACCTCCATCTCCTGAAAAAAAATCTCCCTCCCTCCCTCTCTGCTGCCTTGGGAGTCATCTGAACTCCTCCCCCTCTGGACCTATCCTCTTCAGTCACTCTCCTCCACAACTCTCTCTCCACCACTCTTGACGCCCTTGCGCCCCTCACTTCCCGAACTGCTTCTTACTCACGGGAGTTACCCTGGTACATCAGCCACCTCCGCTCCCTCAAGGCACAGGTGTGAGCCGCTGAACACACCTATCTCAAATCTAATTTAACGGTCCATTGGCAGATCTGGTTGGACCTTATCAAAACTTACAGTTCCACCCTTGGCTCCGCTAAATCGTCCTTCTACTCCAAAACAATCTTGGAGGCCAAGGACAACCCCAGGCTCCTGTTCTACATCACCAACCAGCTCCTCCGCCCAACCACTCACTCCTTGCCCATCCGCTCCTCCAACGACAACTGGATGCTGGACTTCCTCGAAACCAAAGTTGAGGGGATTCACTTAGCTGCCTCTGCCCTTCCTTCTACTACCCTCTCCCCCCTCACACCCGGGCCCCTATCCATCCCTCCCTCCACACCTTCAAACGTCTCCCCCTCCTCTCTCACCATCATTATAACCCACATGAAACCTGTTCCCTTGTGCCCATCCCTACCTCTCTCCTTACCTCTCAGCTCCACCTCCTTGTCCCTCTACTCAATACTGTGAAGCACTTTGAGACGTCTCGACGACGCAATAAGGTGCCATATCAAATGCAAGGATGATTGTTATTATCCCTCACTCACTTACACATTCATTCACTCTCACACAAACTCACCCAATCTAACTCCCTCACATACACTCACTTGCTCACTAAATACATCAATGAATCAATAAATAATAAAGTGACCACTCAATCACGACTGTTTGTGGGACACTGCTGTGCGCAACTGGCTGCTGCGTTTCTCCCACAAAACACACAGTCACTACACTTTATGATGTATCCTGTGAAGCACTTTGAGGTGTCTCGATGAAATGCAAGGATTATTATTATATTATTATTATTATTACTAATCAGACATCACAAACCTCCATGTCCATTGGCACCGTTCCCACCTATTTAAAACGGCCGTCATCATTCCTATACTTAAAAACCCTCCCTGGACCCATCCCTGCTCTCAAATTACTGCCCCGTCTCCAAACTTCCTTTCATAGATCCTGGAACGAGTCATTGCTTCCCAGCTCCTCTCCCGCCACTCCCTTCATGAACCCCCCCCAATCGGGATTCCGTGCCAATCACAGCACAGAAACAGCTTTGGTCAAAGTGACAAATGACATTTTGTCCATCTGCAACCGGGGCTCCCTCTGCTTCCTCTTCTTCCTCTCTTCTGCCTTCGATATCGTCTCCACTTCATCTCCACAAACAGCTTCTCCTCTAGTTCCCGCACCATCTTGTGTGGCGTTCCTCAGGGCTCTGTCCTTGGTCCCCTCCTCTTCAATATCTATATGCTGCCTCTTGGTAGCATCGTCCGCAGACATGGGGTCAACTTCCACATGTATGTGGATGACACCCAACTTTACCTCTCTGCCTCCACTGTTGATTCCAGGACCACTGCTGTCCTGACAGAATGTTTATCAGACATCAAGTCCTGGATGAGAGCTAACTTTCTTCAGTTGAACAAAACCGAGGCCCTCGAGGCTCCCGTCAGCACCTCCACACCCCAGGCGCTGACAGCATCATCATCCATGGATGCACACTCCACCTCACTGAGCCAGTACGGAACCTCAGCATCTTGTTTGACCCTCAGCTATTCTTTCTACCCCACATCCGTGCTATGACACGCTCTGCCTTCCCCGCCTCCGCAACATCACCAGATCCACCACTGTCTCATACCACAGGCTGCCGAGACCCTCATACATGCATTCATAACATCCAGGATTGACTATGTAAACTTCTTGCTTGTCGGCCTCCCCAAGTCCTCTCTCCATAGGCTGCAGATCATCCAGAACTCTGCAGCCATGTCCTCTTCCGCACCAGGCTCCATGACCCTATCACCCCATCTTCGCCCGACTCAACTGGCTTCCCATCATACAGAGGATACAGTTCAAGATCCTGTTCCTCACCTTCAAAGCCTTCCATGGCCTTGCTCTGCGAGCTCCTAACCCCTTACCAACCTGACCACTCCCTCCGTTCAGCATGCTCCAGCCTGCTTCATGTCCCCCACCTCGCTCACCCAACATTGTCGGACAGGCCTTCAGCCTCTCTGCCCCCACCATCTGGAACTCCATCCTGCAGTCCCTCTGCCTCGCCCCTCTCTTGCTTCCTTCAAGACCTGTCTCAAGATCCTCCTCTTCAACCGTGCCTTCGATCATCCTCCTTCCCCCCCCGCCCTCCACCCTCCCCAATCCCAACCCCTAGCTCGGGTCCGAAACACTGATTGTCGAGTACCTTGGATGTCCTCCCAACATGAAAGGCACTTTACAAATGTAATTTTATTGTTGTAAGATGTAATAGTGCTACTAACTGAGACAGGTTGATGGGCAAGATTTTCTTCAAGAAACAATCTGACAATTTTTTTTTAAGCTTCAAACCATGCAACATTATGATATTTCACCTTGTATTCGTGATTTCATCCATCAGTGCTTTCTTTGTTATTTCTTTTAAATTGAAGCTTCACATATTCAAAAGGCGTTTGTTTTAAAAAATGAGCATTTAATTGAATGTTGGACCAAAAACATGTTGTTTTTTATATCAAAAAGTAATAATGATCTTTGCAGTTGATATAGAGCCTTTCATGTCAGAAGGCCCTATCAAAGCACTTCACAGGCAAATGTGGCAGCCAATTTGTGCAGAGCAATGTCCAACAATCAGCCAGGAAGTGAATAACCAATTCTATTTGGTAGATTATTGGCCAGGTGACAACAACAACAACAACAACAAGATTCCATTTATTGAGCGCCTTTCACATCGGGAGGATGTCCCAAGGCGCTGTACAGTTGGGTCAGGATCCGAGCAGGGGGGAAATGGTCAGGGTGAGGGGAGGGAAGGGAGGGAGCGAGGAGGGGGTAGAGAGTCGAGAGGGGAGCTGAAGGCACGGTCAAAGACAAGGAGAAACCCCATTCGCTTTACAAACACTGCCTTCTGAACAGGCAGATAAGACCTTATTTAACATCTCATACGAAGGACAACACCTCCAACGACGCAATGCACCCTCAGCATAAGAATAGAATCTCAACCTCAACAATGCGAGTTCAAAATCCTGATGCGAAGCTTGAACCCACAATCTTCTGACTGAGAGTTGAGAGTGCTACCAACTGAGCCAGTCTGACACCTAACTACACTTAATTAGTGCTCAAAATATAGTATCTCATTAAATTAAATATCATGGGACAAATTTCAGGAGTGGAGTATGGATTCAATCTAATTTACCAATGACATTACCTAGCCTTCATCATGTTTTCCAGTGTGCTCTAACTACTTACTGCTGCTGTGAGTGGATTGTGATAAACAGAAGAGGGGGCAATGGTAATTCCCATCTATTTCTGACTTTCAGATTTTAGAAATGAGGTAGCAATACAGGTCATGACCAGTACAATTATGTAATTTCTCACCCCTCCCCCAAAGGAATCATATTCTGAGCAGAAGAGTAAGCAAGGGTCTCCCTAGTTTCATTTTAAAAAGTGTTTCAGACCTGAATTGTTTCTGACTGCTGCCGCAAAAGTCGCTTGCTCTCCTCTGTGCTGAAAACACCCATCTACCTCTGATTAACATACAACACTACGAGAAATGCAAAAATAAGTTAAAATATTCAAATAAATTCAATCCTGGGATTGAAAAAATACTGGAGTGGAAATCACAAACAATTTCTCCTTATACAGTAGTAAGCCCTAACAGTATAAACCAGAAAATTCCAGCCCAACATTCTTTAAGGTGCCATAAATTACCCCCAGCTTTGTCATTCTTTTTTTCAGATATTAGTCAGTTCATTACTGGAGGTCCAATTTCTTCTTGTTCTAATTTTAATTTGCCCTAATTCTTCAACGTAAAATTTCTTTCTTTCAAGCATCTGATCCAAAACAAAGAAAAAAATATATACCTGTACATTGATTCATTCAAGTACACACAGTGCTAGATTTTGGAATATGGAAAAGCTAGAGCAAGGGCGTTTGGGCTAACAATTGAGCAAGTCTAAAACAACAAATTACTGGTAGCTTCTGTGACTCGGAATTCAGAACAAAACTTCAATTAATTCAGCGTCAATTCAGCCCTGAAAACATGGAAGACTTGTGGTTACTAATTTTCAAAGTTAAGAAAGCTTTTTTGCAACTTCTTTGTACAATATTGTGCCCTTCCATTTTCGAATGATCCTGAAGCTCTCTTGGTTGTAATGACTAAAACAGTTGTCAATAATTGTGTTCATCACCATTAAACTCCATCTTGCTGAAGTAAATTCACTGT